AATGGACCCACATAAACAACACACACACATAACACATGTTGTGTGCATAGGAAACTAATGTGTGAGGGAACTGTGCAGTTTGCAAAAAAACATATAATGTGTGTGCCATTTGCATAAATATATAGTAATATTTTAGCTGTCCAGCTCTGTGCCTGGCTCAGAGGGACCATGATTTCCTCACCACCACAATGCCCATCATATTGGTGGCATCACGCTGATGGTCCCTGGAGAACAGAGGATTCCCTAGATGGCTCGGTAAGACACAGGCGAGTCAGAGGTAGGAGATCAATCACAGGAAAACACATAGGTCCGTCCCTCAATAAAGTTCCCAATGTAAAGGATCTGATGCAGTCAGAGCATTTCCTCCAAAATGTAGGACAAATTACTGCATTTTGAATCCCTGCCCATTAACGCCCATTCAAGGCAATATAGACCACTCTCAAGTATCTCACTCCAATCCATTTACTAACTGACCCTGAAAGCTGCCAGCTTTGGGTTGGGCCTAGAGCAAGTGAAGGCTCTTGGGCTGGGAAAACCTTTGGTACAAATGGCTCTGTTACCAGCCACTCCTCGGGAGGAAGGTTGGGCAATCCTACTTCCGTAGTGATACTGCCTCGGAAACCCAAGGAGGGGTCGCTATGAGTCGGGGCCGACTCGATGGCAAATAACAACAACAACAACAACCAGATTCATGACCTGGCAGATCCAATGGTGCTTGAGATATGTCTCTGGCATATTGGGGAGCCTGTGGAACCTGTGGCAGAGAAGAGTGCTGTATGGAGTGTAACCACTACCCTTTGAAAAATACCCCCTCGTTTGTTACTGGGCTCTGGAGAAACCTAAATGCTTGATTACAGCGTATCAGATGGCCATGCTCTTCCTCATGAAATGATGTTATGTGATTGCCTTGTCATAAAGTTAGGCATGACCAGAAGCATCCCATCACAACTAGACATGGACTCTCTGTGACAGGCCTAGAGCAGGCTTGAAAGGAAGCAGCATGTGTGAATTGCTCACTCAGTCTTCTGCAAAGCTACTCCTGCCATATTGCTGAGCTCCCCTCAATATATATTTACGGCTTTAAAAGGGAGCAGAAATTTGTCTTCACTAGCATAGGCCCTTGTTCTGCATTTGGATTTGCTTTCCTTACTCACCATGCCTCTTCCACCATCAATATCCATGGAATTATCAAACGTCTTCAACTAAGAAACTCTCTACAGCAAAAGTAAGGTTGATGTCTATGGCATTCACTTGTTTTACTAGGATGCCCACAAACAGAAGCAGGTGGGCTGGTAGAGGGTGAAATGGTTTGTTGGAAATTCAGCTATGGCACCACTGAGAAACACCACCTTGTGATGTTGGGTTAGGCCTGCAGGATATAGAATAAGCACTGAACTGGCAACCAATACCACCTAGTTGCTGTTAAGGAGGAGCTCTAGTGGCATAGTGCCTAAGGCATTTGACTACCAACCAGAAGGTTGGCAGTTCAAACCCATCAGCCACTCCTCGGAAGGTTGGGCAATCTACTTTCGCAGTGATATCGCCTTGGAAACCCAAGGAGGGGTCGCTGTGAGTCAGATCTGAATCGATGGCAGTGAGTTTGGTTTTGGTTTTCAAGTGGCTGTTGAGTCGATTCCAACTCATGTTAACTCCACGTATATCAGAGTAGAACTGTGCTCTGAAGGGTTTTCAATGGCTGATTTTTCAGAAGTAGATCAGGCTTAACTTGTGAGGTGCCTCTGGGTGGACTTGACCTGCTAACCTTTTGGTCAAGCAGCTGAGTGCATTAACTGTTTGCACCACCCAGGGACAATTGTCCTACAGGGCTAGGAAGTAGCATGAAGGTGGATGAGGTATCACTGTATCTGATGACCCATTCTTAACACTTTTCTCATACCTGGCCTTTGGGAACAAGAGATGTAGAGGTTTTAGTCCTCACAGAAAAACCCATCATAAAAAAAAAAAAAAAAAAAGAAAAGAATGATTTAACTGAATTGGAAGCTGCAGTCGCTATCTGACCATTTCAGGTCCTTATACTTCTGACTGATGGATAACAGGTTATGGGAGTAGCTAGGATGATTAACCTTGTATGGGAAAATATGGTTGTTGCTACATAAAAGGGGGCAAGAGCACAGATGGAAGTGAGGGCATTCCCTGGAGTGCCACCTGGTACTGCCACACCCGGTGTAAATGTCTTTCACACAGTCAGGAATGCCAAAGAGCTAGACTTCAGAACTGAAGATGTGGGTCATTCCAACATGCAAAGAATCTCTAGTCAGAAATACCAGTCCTGTTAGAAGTGAACTATAGCCTTTACTCATATTTCATTTCATGGTGGGTTATATAATTTTGGTTGAATATGATTAAATTTTACTGGTTAATCCACAAGTTGCAGCTTTCAAAACAAGATTATGACTAAAACTAAAAGAAGAAAGAGAATCTGTCACTAATCATTAGAGATATTGGACTTAGAGAATGGTAGCCCTGGATGATTACCCCTGGACTGCTAGCTGGATATGATCTTGAACTGTCACCCTGTAAACAGAGAGGAATTTGGTTTTGGTTGTATTTGGGAGAGTCGTAATACATCACGTGGGAAGATTGAAGTGCATATGTATGTGGTAGGGGTATATTCTGTGACCCACCCAGCCCAACTTACCCTCCCATTCTCCACCATTCTTCTGGTAATAACACCCTTCCCCCTCATTCTTTGAGAAACTGCCTCTCTCCCAGTGCAAAATACCTTGAGCTTCAGGTCAGATTCTCTTATTGGGAATTTGAATCTTGAGTGGAGGGACACCCACGAGTTGTGGATCTACCAACGTCAGCAGCCCATGGGACAAGCCCTGGAGTGTCTCTGGCACCCTTCCCAAAGCCAATTGTTCAGCTATTTCTCTCATTCTGTGACTTACCCCAGGATCCTTCCATGAATCATTTTTCTTTTATTAAGTTGGTCCAAGTCAATTTCTGTTTATCAAAACCCAAGAATCCTAATGGATAGACAGTCGCATCTAAGCCCACCTCATACATCTTTGCCTCTCATCAGGTACCAGCCCAAGTCTGGTACAAAGTAGGTGTTCAGTGTATGCTTGCTGAATGAGTAAGTGAATGAACAATATCCAGCTCTCAGCTCACCAAAGCAATCTGGATATTCAGGCTGTGAGAGGTGGAGGAACATTGGGACAAGAGAGAAAAGTGGGGTGAGAGTCAGCTGAGCACCAGAGGAAGGAGAGAAGTCATAAATGTCCAAAGGAGGGGGAAATGTCAGGCAGGAAAAGGACCTAGGTGGTGGTGGGGGTGGGGGTGTTGGGAATAAGAAGGGAAGCTTCTCTGCAGTTTGAGAAGCAGGAAATGGTCAGTGTGTAGCTGAGAGGCAGAGCTGATTGTCTCCTGGGTGGTTTTGCCACAGTGGAAGCAGCCAGGGAGATTCCCCAGTTCTGTTCCCTTCTGGTTCCTTCCTTTGTGTTCCTCTTCCAAATGAAGAAGCAATTCCAAAGGCATACGTCCCCAGATACCCTGCTAAAGGGCACAAGGCTTCAGCACAGTTGTGCAGAAAGCAAAGAATGTCTAGCTGTGGTCACCAATGACTGAGACCGTGCTTCAGTCCAGAAGCCAGAACATGGATTCAGTTTTTCATTGGGCCCAGGAACTGTAAGTTGCCCTCAGAGAATCTGCCCGGAGACAGTGGACCTTGACACCCATATATATATACCTTCAACCACACCAGATGAGGGTGAGCAGGATACACAGTTGCTGCCTTTATTGCATTCCAAGGGAAGCAGGCTAACTCAAGACCCAATCCATCCCAGGCTTCAAGAAAGGATGCCCAGGAAGGATCCAGGGTGCTGGCCAAGCCCAGCAATTCCTTGGGAATCCACACATGAGGTCCCAGAGCTGAAGCCCCAGGATTAGGAGCTAATGGTTGGTGGCAGGGGTGTTAGTTCACCCCAGCACATGGATGGACCGCATCCTCCCTGAACGCCTCCATGGGGAAGAGTCCCCGCCCTCTACCCTGGTGGAGAGGGGATGTGAAATTCACTGTGACCCCACAGTATGGAACACAGGATCCCCGATAATCAACATCTTCCCTCTGGCCATAGCTGCTGACAAAATCTGCATGCCAGCCCTCAACTCGTGGACAAAGTGCTCAGGGGAAAGTATACTGGGGTGAAGTGAGAGGCCAGAGGGTAAGCTCCTCTCCTGGGTACTGGTAAATGTGAGTTCAGGGCAAGGGCAAGGGCAGCCCTAAGGCAGAGTCAGGGAAGGGCAGGCAGCAGACTGCAATTGGGCTCAAAGCCTGGGATGTGCAGGGTGCAAGGGGGTATGGGAAGCAGATGAATGAGTGCCTGAGTGATGGAGGAAGCAAGAGCATGAAGACGCATCATCAAAGACCACCGCACAAGGACATTACAGGCTCTGGAAGGGCCCCAAGCCCCATCTGGGCTCAGGGCATGTTAGTTGTAGGATAAGCTGGGATGGATGAGGCAAAGTAGCTGGAAGGAGAAGAGACCCTAAGAGTCACCAAGCCAGACATAGTAGAGAAAGTCTGGAGCCCTGAGGGCAGGGAGGTATCAGGGCCAAGTAAGGGTGAGAGGGTAAATGCTGGCCTGCACACCCTTAGAGGACAACATTCACTGCAGGGTTTGGCTGGGAGCAGGGGTGGGTGCAGAACTCATGCAGAGGACTCTGGGAGCCTCCAGCAGTGGTGAGTGTAAACTTCAAGGAGGGCCCAGGTTGACAGGCACTTGGACGTAGGCCCGCTCAAGACCTGGGAGCCCGGGTGATGGATGGCACCAGGAGAGGCCGGTGGGCTGTGTGCCACACACCAAAGCCATCTGATGAGGAGCTGATTGAGGAGAGGCTGCTCAGAGGCGTCCCCAAGTGCTTCCTCCTCAGTGCAACATCTCCAGTTAGTTCCATATTGGGAAAGTCTCCATCAGGTTCAAGCTGCTTCCTGGTTGGTCTGCTGCTGGGTGGAGGCCCCCAGCTTCCTGTGGGGGCTACCGCATGCCCTGGGCCTTAGAGCTCCTTTCATGGATGGCAGGCTGTCCCAATAACTGGGCAGTGACTGCCTCTGAGGCCTGAGGAGTGGCCTTGGAGATTGAAGCATTCTTGCGGGTGCCCTGAGGACTGGGCAGGCCTTTCTTCTGGGGCTGAGGACTCAACTGGGTACCTTTCCTGCCAGAAGATGGACTCTTGGAGCCTTTGGCCTTTGCTTGGGCATGGGCAGCCTCAGAGCCCTTGAGGGATTTTAGCCCCAGCATCTCACAGTAGGCATTGCACTGGTGTGAGGAGGCAAACTGGTCCAGCAGGGCAGGGAAACAGCTCTCCTTGAGGCCTTGGTACCTGCATCAAAAAGTAAGAGTTGAAGCCCTAAGATGGCACTCAGCACCCCAACCTACAGCCACAGCCCCTTAGGGAACAGACTTTGGGATGCTCATGGTCAGGGTGTGGTGCCCAGAGTACAACCTATTCTACCTGGGATGGTGGGGAATCTTCCTTGGTGCTATCTCAGATGGCAGCATCCAAAACCTCCATTACATTCTGGCACATGGAATTCACCATGTGGGACATTAATTGGTGTAAAGACAATTTATCTTTTTAATATTAATTAGAGCAGACTTCAGGTCATCACTCTAATCATAGGAGCCTTGCTCATTTGCATCCTAATGGGCTTTCTTGAGTGAGAAGGAAGGGAGGAGGTATACTGACAACCCAGAATTGCAGGTGATTCTATGTGTGGGCCCTGGTCCTTGGACCATGGTACTCAGGCCTATGTGCCACCAGACCTAGGGTCAGGACATAGCAGGTAGGGGTCAATGGCCCCCAGGATGTTTCCACATGGCCATCAGTGTGATGGGCCCATTTGGCTCCAGGTCCAGCACCTCAGGGATAAAGAACCAGAAGAACTTATGACATTTTTCACCTTGAAAGGACTCTCTGAGGGTATTCTGTCCCCAAGAACCACTCACCCTCGTAATTTGGTGGCAATGTGCACATCAGTCATCTTCCAGTCAACCCCTGAAAGAGAGAGAAAGTTTGATGTTGATTCAGCGAGCTTCTCTCCATCCACCCTGGATCCAAGGCCCCATGTCTGCAAGACAGACATGACTTTAGATGGAAATGTCCCAGATTTCAGGGCATTTCTTCAGGCATCCCCTCCCTGGGCCATCACCACCAACCAGCCTGTCTCACAGGCAGTGTGGGTATCTCTGTATTATTAGTAGTATAATATTCCCATTTTTACAGGTGAGGAGATGGGCTAAGAGTTCAATGACTTGAGCAAAGTCACATTGATTCATTTGTTCAATCATTGAGCACTGACTATATGCAATGACCAATCATTGTGAGTCAAGGTAAAGTTCAACTTTTCTGGCTCCTGCATACAAAACTCTCCCAACTATGTGATTCTGCCTCTATTGGAACACCTCAGACCTCAGACTGGGCTGGGCTTTGGCTTTGAGCTAAATCCTCCTTTTCCTTCTTAGTAGGTTAGTTTTTCCAGTCAAGAGAGAAGATGGGAACGTAAGGATAAATCAGGGGTGAATCAGTGGGAATGTAACACCAGATACAATTGGCTTCTACACTATTATAAAGACAGTCAGTACACGAAGAAGCCAAGGTAGTTTTCTGAGTTAGGATCCCCTTGGAAAAACAGAGCCAGGCAAAATGGTGATGGAGGAAAAATTTGTCTACCCTGGTCAGTCCACCCAAGTATCTCAGCATTCATGCATTAAACTTGTGGCCCTTCTTCCCCATTTCCAAGATGTCCAGGTAGCATTCTTGTAGGAACTTGCCTTTCACTACCAGGCCTGAGTGCCATGATCTGATAGAGTGAACCAAGTGTAGAATTTAGAATTATGTCATTTTGGAGTTGTGTGAACTTGTCAATTCACTTAAGATCTTAACTGTAAAATTTAACTGTAAAAGTGAGAATAATAATGCCCATTTAACAGGGGTTGAGAAGATCATGAATACATGTAGGACTTTAACCTAGTGCCTGAAACACAGTACATACACAAGAAATATGTTTCTTTGTTACATCTCTTTCAGAATTTATCACATTCTATCTTGTATTCTAATAATAATGATTCCTTACAAGTGCACAGAATTTTACAGTTTACACAAGGCTTTTACAACCATGGTTCTCACAAAAACCTCATAATAAGCCTATCATTATTCTTTCAGAGAGAAAGGAAACTGAAGATATTCGATTGGAGATATTAAATAACCTAACCTATGTGTGCTTTAGTTTTTTCCTCTGTAAAACAGAGACCCAGCTAGAAAATGATGAGGCCTAGTGGAGTAGTACCTAAGATATTTGACTGCTAACCAGAAGGCTGGCAGTTCAAACCCACCAGCCGGTCCTCAGAAGGAAGATTGGGAAATCTGCTTCCATAGAGATACCACCTCAGAAACACAAGGAGTGGTCACTGTAAGTCGGATCCAACTCAACAGCAGTCAGTTTTGTTTTTTGGTTTTGGTAGACTCAAGTCAAATTTCTTTGACTCCAAAATATTTCTACTATCCCATGTTATCATCTCATTATAGAAACTGGTGTACTTCTCACAGCTTCTTAAGGGCAAAGACTATGCTTTATTAATCTTTATACGTTTCCATTTAATAAATAAATGTTGGGTGCATGGATGAATAGGTAGGTGGATAGATAGGTAGATGGTGGAAGAAAGTATGAACTTAGGAGTTAATGCAGTGAATAATAATGGCTTAGTATGTTAGCCTCTCTCACTCCAAATATGTGGAGTTATCTATACAATATTTATTGTAATACTTAATGCTAAAGAAAAGCACATTTGAGCCAGTTTTATGTTTGGACCTTGGGCTTCTCACCTACTTATATCAAGGACAAAACTTAATAATGTGTGATACTGACAGCCTTCTTCCCCTCCCAGGATAGAGAGAATTTTATTTTTTCCTCTCCCCTTCTCAGTTCTGGTTAAAGAGAGTAAGCCTGGAGAGGACTGGTCAAAGATGGAAGAAGGATTCATTCATGCTGGTCTATCTTTGTTGGGGAGAATCTGGGTGATGGGAAAAACATAAATAAGACTAAAAGGAAGCCAGAAAGATGAAACTGATTTATATAATAGAATACTAAGGAAGACGGAGGAGGGGAAGAGACAGTAAAACTGTGTGTTCTCAGATAGAAGAGAGCGTACAAAGAGTGAGAAAATTCAGGGCAGCTACAGGGTAGAGAGGAGGTAAATTTTTAAAAAGGGTGGTTGTGAATTTTGAATTAGATCCCATGTAATGCTCTTTGAAGTAAATTTCTTTTTAATTTTAAGTTGGGGCTAGACTATATTCCTTTAAACACAACTTCAGTTACAGGCTGGACTACATGAGGCCCTGATCTGTATTAGTGTTGCATCCAATTTACTTTACAAGGTTATTGTAAAGAGTAAAGGAGGATAAATACAGAAGTGCTTTGTCAACTATCAAACAAACACTATGGCTCTGTCTCGCCACATGCTGTCACACATATACATGCACACCCTCATACCTGCCAAATCTGTGACAAGGAAGCTGCCATTTGTCCACTGATAAAGCCAGTGCTGGAAGGTCTGGCATTTTTGTATGACTTCAGAGCTGCTAGATGCTGCTGGGGCCCCAGCAAAGCCCCATTCCCGGGAACAGTAAGACTCCAGGGGCTTGCCCAGGTCCTCCTCCAGGGTAGCATATGGGATATTATTTGCAGGTCGGTAGATCAGATACAGTGGGATGATCCTAAACATAGTTTCATTGTGCAGTGAGCAGGAAGCACGTCTCCAGAGAGCTTATCTCTCCATCCCAGTTCTACATTCATAATTCTAAAAGGAGGTCCTTTCCAAGAATGGAATTCTCAGCTCTGAGCCTGAAGGATAGTGAGAGACAGGAGCTCCACCCCAGTTCAGGAAAGGAAATAGAAGCCACTGGCTTCAGAGTCCTGTCTTCTGTGTGGTCAATGGGACTAGAAGTGAACTCTGTACACATAGGTGAGGGACTGAGATAAGTTTGTGTCAGAGAGGAACACTTCTAGAGAGAATTCAACCAATCGTGGCTCAACAGCAGTCAGATTGTAGATACTCAGAGTCGGATTACAAGTCTCAAAATGAAAATGATCACCATTCCTACAAAAATCCACATCGACCCTAACTGCCTAGCACAGAAAAGTCTCCAAGTTGTCCAGAAGCTTACCCATCCCCACCACTTTCAGAGAGGCCCAGAATCTGCAGGGCCAAAACTCTGAAGTCAACAAAAATCAGGCAAAGGAGTAGGGGATGAGGATGAGGGAAGACTTGAGATCAAGACAGAGGCTTTTCCAAAGTGCACAGTGAATCTTTAGGTCTTTCTAGATTTTGAAGGACCACTGAGCTAAGCATAGGGCTAATTATGAGCCCATTTGCACATGGTCATCACTCAGGATGCCCCCAAGAGGCTGTGCAATCACTGTTCTTTGTGGACTCTGAAAGCAACAGGCTTGCACACTACATAGCCCCCCTCCCCGGCACTTACTCAGGCACCTCTCCAAAGGCAGGCACGGCCCGGGCTTCAGCTGCAAAGATTTTGCAGTACTCGCGACTCATGTTCTGGATCTTGCACCCCTGTGGATTATAGAGAACCAAATCAGATTAGCAAAGAAACTCCCAGCTCTCTATCATGCCAGTGGGAGGACCATCTACAGGAACTGCAGGGAGGACTCCAACTCTAGGGAAAACAGGGTGATTCCTGACTGCCTTCTACTCTGTGCTTCATTTTTCTCATTTGTAAAACAAGGAGCTTTGAACTTTTGAAAACTGAGGTTTCCAATATGGTTTCTAAACTGTGTCCCCTGGAACCCTAATGATAGTGGCAGTGCTCCAAGAGCCACCCTGTGGAGCAAGGAGTAGGTTGAATGGGCAGAGCACCAGACATCCTCCCCATATATAGTCATATGCCTTTAATCTCTCCTATTAGGCCTCCATGTAAGATTATGTTTGGGAACAGGAAGAAAGGCTTCTTTTGCAAAAATACAGTTTGAAAACAATGGCCAAAATGGCTTTCACTCTTCATGTTCTCTGAGGTCTAGTTCAGTATCTGGATTCTGCACTAATCTCAGTCTCTCCCCAAGGTCAGTCCTAGGTGTCTCATAAGGTTAAAACTGAGATGGTTCAGTTTCCCAGGATGACCCAGACTGGGAAAGGGAGGAGGTGAGAGAGTAGATTTGGGGAATGATCATAGGACCTGGTACCTGGATGGTGACATCGTAGTTTCTGCCCAGGAGAGAAGTCTCACTGCTTGGCCCAAATACAAGCAGGCTGGATACCTTGATGATGCAGGTGCGGCCCGACTCGAAGACAGGTTCCAGCCCGTAGATGACCTTGGCCTGGGAGGCTTTCTGAAGGCCACACCCACGTCCACCCCCTCGGAGCTCCTCACTCACCAGGCGCCCAAAGAGCTTGTCCCCCCAGCAGCCAGAGTCAGCCAGACCCTTAGCAAACACCATGGGGGTCATCTCAATCTCTTCTCCAACTGAAGGGGAACAGGAGAAATGTGGGGAAATAGAAACTCCTGCCTGACCAATGTGGAGTGTGTAGGGCAGCCAAGAAGCTGGGACTAAGCCCCCACCCCGCCAACCTGGTACTCTAACGTTCCTTGAGCCCCTACCAGATGGTGAGCTCTTTGAGGGCAGAAACTACAGATATAATCCCTGTCATTTAACAGTGCCTGTGTGGTACCTGTTACAGGGTGAGTGCTCCCTAAGTGTCTATAAAAGGCAGTGGTTTTCTGAGCTAGGGGCAATCAATACAGAATACCAGAATTTGTTTTAGAATTATGTGTGTTGATCAAATGGTTAAATGATTTCACCTCAACCAACACATTTGACTGGAACAGAAAGTTTGCAGGGCCAATCTAGCAGCAGTGAGCACCCCTACTGCTCAAATTGTCATCACTAAAGACCATTCCCCACTAGAAGGAACCACAGCTGTCTAAAGAAATGGTTGATTCCAGATCTAGGGCAGGGAGTATACAGGATGAGGCTGACACATCTTGTCACACCAGAAAGCAAGGAAGCTGTCAAATATTATTGGTACCTTTTCAAAGGACACAGGAGCCAACCTGAAGGAGCTCCCAAAGCCACACATGAGACAATCTTAACAAAAACAATACTGGTCACAACGTATTGAACATCAAATACGTTTTTTAAAAAATCCATGCATTCATAATGGTAAGTTAGAAAAAAAAAAAAAAAAAGCTTCATTGATCACTTTTGGAGGGCACCAACCCAATATTCTGAAATCTAGTAAATAAAGGGGGAAAAAACATCAAGCATTTATCCTTCATTTTCTGTTGGACCTATATATATCAGGGTAACCAAATGATTCTTTACAGAAAAAAATTTGGCTAATAGATGAACAAGAAATGATAGGATAATAATGCCTCCATGTTACAACTCCTAATGAAAAAATGGATTTAGGAAATAATCAGTGGCTGATGAAACCATTAGATAATTTGAGATTGAGGGGATTTAAAAGGGATGGGTTAGACAGATAACACCTGGATAAGCCCAAAAGTGAGTCTTCCCATTACTACAAGTGAAACAATCAGAGAGTATGTGTTTCCTGATGGGATGCAAAAGAAAACACACTGCACACCTGTGAAGTATTCTGGGGTGGGGGGGAGATAAAAGTAAAAAAAAATTGAACCCGAATCTGACCAAGCCTCTAGATCTAATAAGCAGTTTAGAAGAATTACATATATGGAAGAGCATGCTAAGTGGGGCTATAATCAACAAAACCTAGAATGTAAGAAATTCTACTCATCAAGGGACTTTAACAAATGAATGGCAAGGTGGGGGGAATAAGGGAGGAGGAACTGTTATACATTAAGAGACTTAAGACATAGATCAGCTGAAAGGAATGAGTGGCTCCTGATCCAAATAAACCAATGAGATCATTGGGGAAATCTGATTGGATGATGTTAAAGGATTATTAATATGTTTTTGGATGTGAAATTACATTTAATACTGATCAAATTTGATTTGGTAACTGGACAAAAGGCACTGGTTGAATGAATGGGTGATTAAATGAATGAAGGAATTAATACATTAATTAGTAAAATCTTTCCATCACTAGTTGACTTCACAGTCCCAAGCTTTATCAGATCTCTTGTGGGAGCAGTGTAGACCCTTCTAGTAATACTTGAGCCTTTAAAATGCTTATCAAACTTTGGAATATTTTATAATCACCAGGGAGCCTGCTGAAAGTGACATTTTCCTAGGCCCTTCCCCAGAGATTGGGATTAAGGATGTATGCAGCAGGGCCCAAGAAACTGCATTTCTAGAAGACTCTCTATGTCAATCTGATGCAGGAGATCCACAGACCACCCAGAAATTCTAGCTAGGGAGTTGGTGGGATTAGATGTGCCCTGGTGACAAGTCCCGCCCTTGATCAAGGCTCCAATATGGGCAAAGGGCACAAGGCTGAATGAATTTACAGAATGCCTCATCCTACCCGCAAACAGTTTTTTCTCCCATAATCTTCTGAAATATCAGTCCTCCTCCATCATTTTCCCAAAACCTTATCCTAAACTAGGAGGCAAAGGGTAGCTGAACGGATATTAACATGACAGTACAGAACAGATTCCAAGCCCTTTAAGAAGGTCCTCCCAGCAGATGGTGGGGGAAAGATGAATACCCACCCACTCTTCCTCCTCCCCCAAAGGGGCCCCGTACCTTCACCTTCTTCTCTGGAGATGAATCCTGACAACACTAAGTGGAGAAAAAGAAGGAAAGCAGCTGCCCTCAGGCTGTTCTGCCCAGAGAGGGAGCCATCTCTTTGAAGATGACTGCTGCCCATCCCCCGGAGTCAGGCCTGCCGGAGACCCTGGGCTGCAGGGCAACACTCACCCTCGGAGCTGAGGCAGAAGTCGGTGGAGGCTGAGCCGTGCTCATTCTGGATGGTGCACCGATACATGCCGCAGTCCACTGGGGACGCCTGCACTATGGCCAAGGCTGCTGGCCCCTCATCCCCAGCACTGCAGAGAGTGGAGACTTTTTTTGTGAGCCCATCACCATGCACAGGGCTCATGGGATGCAGCAGACTACAATCCTAAAATTCCTTAGACCTCACTCCCAGAGCTGCTTAGAACACAGGCTCTGAGAACACCGGAGGCAGAAGCAAGAGATATGGTGGTGGAGAACAAGCTCCATCCAGATCACCCAGACAGCATGACACTTACTAGCTGTGCAACTTTAGGCAAGAGACTTAACACTTGTGCCTCAATTTTCTCATCTCTGCTCTGGGAGTAATAGAATCTCCATCCAGGATTATTGTGATACTAGAACAATGCCTGGCAGGGTCATTATTGTACTTAGGGAGCCAGGTGGGGTGGAGGTGGTCTCACCCAGCTTACCTCCTGCCCACCTCACCCACTGGGTGCTGATCCTTGGCCCATGTCAAGACTGAGTCACTAAGAATGTTGAAGAACTGGCACCAGAGCTTCAGGCTGCCGGAGGCATCAGGAAACTGTTCCACCCTAATCTTCCGGATCACCTGTGGAGCTGAGAGTGGGGGCCCAACTAAGAGAGAGAAGCCACTTCCCCTCCACTCTGTGCCCTCTCTGGCCTTTCACAGTTGTACAAGCAAAGGCAGAGGGCTATGACCAGAGCCCAAGGCCTGCAGATGGCCCTGCTCCTGCTTCCCTGGGTGTCCTTGGTGGCACAGGCTAAGAGAAAACAGGATTCAAGTCTCCCACTACTTCACAGCCCCCAGCCCTTGCTGCCCCTTCCCTTGGTCTCTAAGGCTTCTGCCCTGACCCTTAAAGCACCCATCTGAGCTAGAAAGAACCTAAGCCAGGGAAAGCCTCACAGGTGAGAACACAATAGCTGTCAAGATAGGACATCAGTTTACTCTCTAAGACCCTAACTCTAGAGACCTACATTGAACCCTGTCTCTACCACTTTAACTGTGGGACAAGTCTGTTTTAAAGAGGGGATGATCATTATCATCATCCTTGTCATAGAGCTAAAATGCTATTGAATGCCAGGCCCTGTGATAAGTCCTTCATTGATTCTATCCCATTTAACCCTGCCAGTGCTACAAAGTTTATACTATTCTCATCCCCATTTTATGGAGAAGCAGAGCCAGGAAAAGACCCAGGCCTTTCTAATTCTAAAGCTTGTGAAATCATTAAACAAGACATTTCCCAAGGTGTTTTGTCAGTCCCTAAAAGAATAGGGTGGTGTTGTCAGGAGCAGCAGTGTCCTCAGGGGCTTCCCGGTAGTACTTTCCCACAAAGCCACCCTGTCTGTCCCCATCGCTTACCTTTGAGTAAGTCTTTGGCTTTGTCCTTGGCTTTCTTGGGCTTGGCCAGAGCATCCTGCTTGCCTTCATCCAGTGCCGGCTCTGCGTCTAGGCCACTGGCCTTGGTGCTGGTGCCCAGGTCTCCTGGCGCTGGTTCCTCCTCTGCCCGTGGCACCTCCAGTAGACCTGCTTTCCTGCCCTGGGTAGGGGAGCGTCTTTCTCGCCCCGGAGACCCCGGGGACCCAGGCACCAGGCTCTTCCTGGGTCCCCGGGGGGAAACTGTGGAGCTCTCCCTTTCTTCAGGCTTGGCCACCTCCCCTTCTCCCATTGCTCTGACCTTAGGGAGAAATCTCTTCCTCCGGGCCCCTAGAGCCAGCTCCTCAGGTGTGGCTGCAGGGAGACCTGTCAGAGCCTCCCCTGGAGCCTCCTCCTCTTGGAAGGGCTCCTGGGTTCTGCTATCTGCTGAGAGTAGTTCCTGCCCAGAGGCTGCCTGCCCGCCCACCCGCCGGGCTGGCCCACCCATGCTGCTCTCCAGGGTGGCCCCTAGGTCAGGCCCCTCAAAGGAAACTTCTCCCTCACCCTCACTGGATCCTTCTTCTGAGGTTGGCCCAGGGCCCTCCCCGCCTACCACAATGGTGGGGACAGTGAGGAGGCTGGGGACAGGGCCTTGGGAGCGCTGGGCAGCTGCCAAGGCCTGCCGGCCAGCCTGCACCTCACGATCCAGGAGACCGGTGAGACGACGGGAGGTGCAGGGGCTCAGCAACAGGGTCTGTGCACTCTGCACCAGATGGTTGTTCTCCACACGCTCCAGGATACGCCGTGACGTCTGGGGACTCAGGCCAGCCACTTCCACGGTAGGGACCAGAGTGGGCGAGGATGCTGGTGCCCCAGAGGTCATACCTGCCTGGGACTGTGCCGCCCCTCCACTTGTCTCTGTGCCAGATAGCTTCAGCAGAAGAAGCAAGTAGTTCTTCAGGGAATCTATGAGGCCAGGGTCACAGCTTCGGGGGCCTGAGGTCCTACCCTCTGCATCTGGCACCTCGGCACAGGCCCCCTCGGTGCTAGTAGCCATGGTTTCTGGTAGGATCTCTGACCCCAGGTGTGGTGTAGGGGCAGACCCAATCAAGGCCTGGGCTCCAGAGGGCAATAAGGCAGCTGTGTTCATGTGCTGAGAAGTCAGGGTGCTGGGCAGCCCCTCTGGTGGGCTATTGGTCAAGCCAGTCCCAGGAAGAGAGGACATGGTGGGTACCTCTGGGCTCAGGCTGCTCGGATCAACTGACAGCACTTCTCTTGGTTGGTTCTCCTTGGGGCACTGGACCGAGCCATCCTCTGTCTTGTCCTTGGCTGGCCTTGGCCACCTCGACCCTTGACATCTCTCTCCTCCCATTTGCTCCAAGTTTTCCTCACGAGGCAGCTGTGCTGGGAGTGTGACGCTCCCTGACAGGGGGCCCAGCACAGTTTCCTCATGGTTTCTGGAGGCTACTACTGCTGCCTCCTCAGAGCTGAGTACAAAACCAGGTTTTTCTAGGAAAGAGGACCCTTCTGGGGTCTGCTCAAAGCATCTCGTAATCTGAGGCAGCCTAGGGTCCTCTGAAGGTGGGGATGAAGGGGCTTTGGACTGTGGGCTGAGGCTGCTCATGGACTTCTCCTCTGGCTGAACTTCTACGGCTGTGGGTATGTTCTCCTCTGACTGTGTCTCCTTTTCTCCCTGTATCCTTTTGTCTTCTTGTGTCCTCTCATCTGCCTGTATCTTCCTGTCTTCCTGTGTCTTCTCACCTGCCTGTGTTCTTTCTACCTGTGCCCCTACCCTTCCCAGTGTCTCCACATACTCCTGTGAACTCCTGTATGCCTGTGTCCTCACACTGTCTTGTGTCACAACATCCACCTGTGTCTTCCTCTCTGCCAGTGTCCTCTGGGTTGTTTGTGTTCTGGCTCCCTGTACCTGCCCATCTGTCAGCATCCTCTCATCCATTTGTGTCTTCCCATCCACCTGTACATTCTTGTTGCCTCCTGTTCTCCAGTCAGCAGAGGTTCTCCTGTCCTCCTGGGTTTCTGTATCCATGGGCTCAATTGTGTCCTGATTTCTGGAGATGCTGGGACCAAGGGATGCTACACCACAGCTACTGCTGGCCGACGTGATGGGAACCATGTTTCCCTGGGACTCTGAGGCCTGAGGACACATGGACAAAACAAGAACTACACTTGCATCAGGATTTCCAATCTGACCTCATCCAGAACTGCCCTGATGGGAATCCTGCCACCTGGTTTCTCAGGCCACTGGTGATAAGAGGCAAAGGACATGTGGCCAGATTCCAAAGTCTCATGCCCACACACCTCAACCCTTAATCCCAGAATCAGAACCAGGAAGTATACTGCATCCAGACCCAACTCTGGCCCTTCTCATTCCTCCCTGAAGAAATCATGACTTTCCTGAAAGGCTCTTGTGGTAGGTAAGTTTGTATGTCAACTTGGTCAGGCCTGGTTGAGTGGCTGGGCAGCTGGATGTAATACTCCCCATGATGAGATTGGTAATCAACTCCATGGTGGAACCTACTGTGAGCAGCTGAGTAGCTAGCTGCCTTAGGGATGTGGTCTGCTTCCCATATATAAGCAGCAGCACTGGGAATGGTCTCTAGCTTATGGCATGCTTGGACCCTGCATGTAGCTGTGTTGTTGTTCAGCAGTCTGCCGTGCTCTGCCAACCTTGGGACTTTCAGTGGACTTGAATTAATGGCCTGCCGTGTGGTTTGGGAACATTGGGATTATGCCTTTTTACTCGTCAACCTTGGGCTTGTCAGTCTTAGCAGCCAGCAGCTGTCTGAGTAAAGAAAAGCCTCTAACTCCAGTGGGCCAGGAGCAAGAGGCAGAGCCGAAACCCAAGGTTGAGGGGTTTTCACCCAGCCCCTAGAGCCTAGCACTTTGAACTCGGACTTAAAGCCTCCAAACTGTAAGAGAATAAACTCCTATTTGTTTAAGCATCCCATTTGTGGTATATAGTTTTGTCAGAGTGGTACTAGGTAACCAGAACAACCCACCTCTTACCCCTGTCATTCAGAGGAGAGTGTGCCCTCTCCCCAGACTCCCTAAGAAATCAATCTGTTCCTCTCCTGTGGCACTAATTACAATGGACAGAATTATGGTTGAAATGGGAGAGTGCAGAAGAGCCCCCAACAATGGACCCAAAAACAGCATCCACCATCAATGGGTGAGTGGTAATACTATGATGCCATCCAAACAAAGAGGATAAACATAATTATGAATGGCCCCCATATCAAGAAATCAGTGGTATGTTATAATATTATCCTTTCTGCACACCTACTGTTTACAAAGCATTACCATTCATTGGAATCGACTGCACAGCAACGGGTTTGGTTTTTTTGGTTTGTATGTTGTTGTTAGCTGTCACTGAGTTGGCCCCCAACTCATGGCAACCCAATGTACAATGAACAAAACACTGCCCAATCCTGCACCATCCCTGTGACTGGTTCTGAATCAGGCCCTTGTGATGCACAGGGGTTTCACTGGCTCATTTTCAGAAGTAGATCACTAGGCATATCTTTCCTAGTCTGTCTTAGTCTGGAAGCTGTGCTAAAACTGGTTTAGCCTTATAGCGACATGCAAGCCTCCACTAACAGATGGGGGTTGCTGTGCATGAGGTCCATTGGCCAGGAATCAAACCCGAGTCTCCCACATGGAAGGGAAGAATTCTACCACTGAACCACCAATGCCCTCCCTCCAAAGCACTGTGCTAGGCTCCTTATATACAGTACCTTAATGTGAAACATTTTTGAGAATTATCCCCATTTTAAAGATAAGAACACCGATGGTTGAAGAAGGGATGCAATTTGTTCACTATCAAATGCAAGTAAGTGGCAGAGTTTAGATTAGAACCATGACTCCAAATTTCACGTTATTAGTTTTTATACTTAATGTCACCCATTCCAATATAAGTAAAGGATTTGCCATCTAAACATGCTAGTAGAAGGCAGTAAATTTCCTCTTTTCTTCCTGACTATAATCAAAGCAACAAAGTAAACAAGGGGGAAAAAAAAAAAAAAAAAGCAAACTCCATAGTTAGTGAAACTAGAACCATAAAAACCAGGTACAGCAGGTCTCAGAACACACCAGCAAAAACACAGTTATTATAGATAAGGGGCTCACCCTAAAGAGATACATCCATGAACTTTGCATACAACGAGGGCTGTAGGATCATGGAGGAGCCCTAGTTGTGGAACAGTAAAGTCCTTGGCTGCTAACCAAAAGGTTGGTGGTTTGAGCCTATCAGTGACTCTGTAGGAGAAAAAAAAAAAAAAACTGGTCATCTGCTCCCGCGAAGATTATAGCCTAGAAGAGCCAGTCATACTCTGTCATACAGGGTCACTATGAGTCAGAATTGAGTCAACAGGCACACAGCAACAACAGGACCATGGAGAACTGAGGAGAAATAAAGCAGAAGACACACAAGGAGAGAAGCATTGGCCCAAGGGCAGCAGATTTCAGAAATCAGCAGCAAAACTACACCCTCTGAAAACTGCTAAGGAAATCCAGCATAAGTAATGAAAAATAGAATTGGCAAAATATCTATTAAAAAGCATCATAAGAAGAAAGGTGGGAAAAAGAAGCAAAACTTACCAAAGAATATTTCCCAGAAACTTTGACATGAAACTGATGAAAATTCAAACTAATATTTCACCAACAATTTTAAAAGTTTAATGAAGAAACCACATTTATGAAGAAAGAATACAAGTAAGAACTCAATAGGAAGAAATATAAGAATTCAAGAAAGAGATGGGAGAAAGAGAAAGTGGGAGGGAGGAAAAGGGAACTGTGAGATGCCAGGATTCAGCAAAGATACTGAAGATAAATAAAAAATAAAGACAAATTGGAAGGAACAAAGGAAAACTAAATCTTGTGGAAAGTACAATGAAGAATAGAAATGAGAAAAGTGAGGAACATAACATGGAAAGAAAGGGCCACTACACAGCAGTCATTAAGATAGTAGAACCTTCTCCAGAAGACTGGCAGTTCAAACCCACCAGCCACTCCTTGGAAGAAAGATTGGGCAATCTACTTCTGTAGTGATACCACCTCAGAAACCCAAGGAGAGGTCGCTATGGTCAGGTCTGACTCCATGGCAGTGAGTTTAGTTTGGTTTTCTCTTAACTTCTGGTATTCTAGGATTACACACGAACACGCACTGCCATCGAGTCGGATACAACACATAGCGACCCCTCCTTGGGTTTCCGAGGCAGTATCACTAGGAAAGTAGATTGCCCAACCCTCCTTCCAAGGAGTGGCTGGTGGGTTTGAACTGCCAGTCTTCTGGTTAGCAGTCAAATGCCTTAGGCACTACACCACCAGAGCTCCTATTCTAGGATTAGAGAATATTAATATGAGCATTAAACCTATAAGTTTACAAAGAAAGTGTTGACTCTGCACACAAGCCTGCTGTTCACAAGACTAATGCAAATGAGACTTCTTGATTAAAGCTACCTTCACTCCCCCGTTACCCCCAGCCTCATTAGTCCCTGGGTCCCACTGAACCTACTTCCTCAATTTCTCAATATCCATTCCTTCTATCTCCACTGCCAAGCACCTAATCCAAGCTGCCATCAATTATATCTTGCCTGGACTGTAAATGATATCTTGCCTGGGCTGTAAAGTCCCCTAATTGGTATCTATGACTCTAGTCTTTGCTTCTGTTAAACTATTATTATCCTCAATGCAGCCCAAATGATCTTTCCAAAATACGAATTTGATTATGACACTCCCCTGCATAAAAACCTCTCAATGGCTTATCATCACTTACAGGATTAAGCCCAAAATCCCTGGCCTAAAAGAGCGCAAAGGTTAATAACATTCTCTGTTGGCCAGGGTATGGGGAAACAAGCATTAGCAGAGCCTCTATGGAGAGCAATTTGGCATTATCTATCAGGACTGAAAATATAAAAATACTTATATCCTTTGACATAACAACTATATTCCCAGGAATTTATCATACGGATATACTCTCATGTACAAATGGACTCATATACATTTGTTGCAGCATAGTTTATAACAGCAAGAAACTATAAAGTACTTAAACTCTTATCACTATGCGACTGGTCCAATGAATTATGGTACACCATAATAAGGAGCTCTCATGGTGTAATGGTAAAGGCATTTAGCTGCTAACCAAAAGGTCAATGGTTTGAACCTACCAACTGCTCCACAGAAGAAAGATGAGGCAGACTACTTCCATAATGATCTGTTGTTGTTGTTGTTGTT